TCAAATCGAAGGAATAGGTACGATTCTGATCTTCTGTAAAGATGGTAGTCACAAGCTAATTCAAGATGTTTATTATGTGCCAAAATTAGAAAGTAATATTTTGAGTTTGGGCCAACTTCTTGAAAAGGAATATGACATCCACATGAAAAATATGCATCTTTGGCTTAGAGATTCAAGTGGAATTCTAATTGCTAAAGTGCATATGACAAAGAATAGATTATTTTCTCTGAATCTTAAAACAATTGATGTAAAGTGTTTGAAGGCTAATGTGAAAGATGAATCATGGTGTTGGCACATGCGATTTGGGCACTTGAATTTTGAAGCGCTCAAATCAATGGGAGAAAAGAACATGGTACATGGGATACCATCAATCAACCATCCAAATCAACTCTGTGAAGCTTGTCTTCTTGGGAAACATGCAAGGAGGAGTTTTCCAAAGGAGGCCATGACAAGATCAACCAAGCCGCTCCAACTTGTTCACACTGATGTGTGTGGACCAATCAATCCACCTTCTTTTGGTACAAATAGATACTTTGTGCTTTTCATTGATGACTTTAGTAGAAAGACTTGGGTTTATTTCTTGAACCAAAAATCTAAAGCTTTTGCTGCTTTTAAAAATTTCAAAAAGTACTTGTGGAGAAAGAAAGTGGCTATGAAATTAAAGCTCTAAGGTCCAATAGAGGAGGCGAATTCACTTCAAACGAATTTAATGACTTTTGTCAGTCTCATGGAATTCCTCGCCCTGCAACGGTACCTTATTCACCCCAACAAAATGGAGTTGCAGAGAGAAAGAATCAAACGATTCTTAATATGGCTCGATGTATGTTGAAAGCTAAAAGTATGCCCAAGGAATTTTGGGCCGAAGCTGTTTCTTGTTCAGTTTATTTGAACAACAGGTCTCCAACAAGAAATGTTAGAGATCAAACGCCTCAAGAAGCATGGAGTGGAAGAAAGCCAAGTGTCAAACACTTAAGAATCTTTGGGAGCATAGCCTATGCTCATGTGCCACATCAAGGGAGAGCAAAGCTTGACGATCGAAGTGTCAAGCATGTATTTGTTGGCTATGATACGAGTTCAAAAGGCTACAAGTTATACAACCCAAGCAGCGGTAAGGTGGTGGTAAGTCGCGATGTTGAATTTGATGAAGAATTGGCATGGGATTGGGAAGCCCATGAAACTTCATATGATTTTCTTCCATACTTTGGTGATGAAGAAGAACCAGAGACCGTGGAACCTGTGCAGGATACAACTCCACCTCCTTCTCCAACCAATGTTGCATCTCCCTCTTCTCAAGAAAGTTCAAAATGAACAGCCTCAAAGGACAAGGAGTATTCAAGAGCTCTATGAGGACACACAAGAAGTTACTAATTTTGATTTTTTATGTTGTCTCTTTGCTGACAGTGAACCAATAAACTTTGATGAAGCTGTTACAAACAAAAAGTGGAGACAAGCCATGGGGGAGGAGATTGAGTCAATAGAGAAGAACAACACTTGGGAGTTAACAACTCTTCCCAAGGGTCATCGAGCAATTGGAGTGAAATGGGTATACAAAATAAAGAAGAATGCTGATGGAGATGTGGAGAAATACAAGGCACGACTTGTGGCTAAAGGCTACAAGCAAAGGCAAGTCATTGACTATGAAGAAGTCTACACACTTGTTGCCTGCATGGAGACGATTCGTTTGCTTATCTCTTTGGCGGCGCAAATGAAGTGGAAGGTCCATCAACTAGATGTCAAGTCAGCCTTCTTGAATGGCTATCTTGAAGAAGAAGTCTATGTTGAACAACCATTGGGCTTCGTGGTCAAAAACCATGAAGATAAAGTGTTGCGGTTGAAGAAAGCTTTATGTGGATTAAAGCAAGCCCCACGAGCATGGAATAGTTGCATCGACAAATATTTTCAAGACAATGGGTTTACTCGTTGTCTCCATGAATATGCTCTTTACCTTAAAGTTCATACTAATGGAGATATCTTACTTGTTTGTCTTTATGTTGCTAATCTTATTTTCACGGGCAATAACTCAAGTTTGTTTGAAGCTTTTAAGAAAGATATGTCCCATGAGTTTGAGATGACAGACGTAGGGCTCATGTCATACTACTTGGGCCTAGAAGTAAAGCAGATGGAGGATGGAATTTTTATCTCTCAAGAAAGCTATACAAAAGAGATATTGAAGAAGTTCAACATGCTCGATTGCAACCCCGTTAACACACCGATGGAGAGTGGGACAAAATTGTCCAAGTTTGATGAAGGAGAAAAAGTGGATCCCATATTTTTTAAAAGTCTTGTGGGAAGTTTGAGGTACTTGACTTGTACTAGGCCAGATATACTCTTTGCAGTTGGAGTAGTAAGACGCTTCATGGAAGCTTCTACCTCCACTCATTTGAAAGTCACTAGAAGTAATTCTTCGTTACCTAAAAGGTACGATCGACTTTGGGTTATTTTATTCTTCTTCTAATGACTTAAACCTTATGGGATTTTGTGATAGTGATTATGCCGGAGATAGTTGATGATAGAAAAAGTACAACTGGTTTTGTATTTTTCTTGGGTGATTCTGTTATTTCTTGGAGTTCAAAGAAACAACCAATTGTTACTCTCTCAACTTGTGAGCTGAATATATAGCAGCAACATCTTGTACCTGTCATGCTATTTGGTTGAGAAGATTATTGAAGGAGCTCAATTTGCCACAAATTGAATGTACGGAGATTTGTATTGACAACAAATTCGCACAGGCGCTCGCAAAGAATCCAGTGTATCACGATCGAAGCAAGCATATTGATACAAGGTATCACTTCATCAGAGATTGCATTGCTAAGAAGGAAGTCGGGCTCAAATATGTGATGTCTCATGATCAAGTTGCAAATATCTTCACAAAGCCTCTCAAGTTTGAAGATTTTCAGAGATTGAGATCTTGTCTTGGAATGAAGAAAAAAAATCAAAATTAAGGGAGAGATTTGTGGGGTCACTAAATAAAATAAACAAAAAGAAAATAAGAAAGAAAAAAAATGTGATTGGTTGAAACCATGGCAATAGTAGGCGGATGTAAGGTTGGGCGGTGGAACCAATTTCATAACCAATTTGCAATCTTGCAAATTGGCAAGTAGGCAACAGAACAACAGAACAGATTTTGATCGGTTTTGGCGAGCATTCGTTCAACTATAAATAGGGATGATGTTGCCTCATTTCAAACACACCAAAAAAGAGAGAGAAGCAACAGAGAGTTAGAGAGAGTAATACACAGATTGCAGTCTGTGAGATAAATAGTGAGTGGGAGTAATATTGTAGTGAGGTGTTTAAAATAAAGAGTATTTTTTCTTTCGAAGTTGTAGTAGTCTCTTGACACAACTAAGTTGTAATATTATAGTATTGTACTTTACCCCGTTAAAATATTTGGTGTCGTTGTTACTCTCTTGTGTTATTGTGATTTATCGTGGATATTGTTCCTGGGCGGGATTATTTATTTTTATTCCTAACAAGTGCTCGGTTTGGAACTGGGGAATGATTGCCATGAGAAATTTACTTCCTCCTGTAGGTCTCTCAACTTGATACTTCGCAATCTCCGTTTTTGGATGCTTAAATTCCATTGGGTGCAGAATTCGTCTTTATATATTTTAGAATAAAACTCCACCTGTGCGACTCACAAACTATAGCTGGTCTGAAATCTGAATAGGGATTGTGGTCTATTAACTGCTAGCGTAAAAGGTCAACTGTGATGAATTCTCCGAATAGTGGACCTGTAAGAGCTAGCAGAATCGACACCATTCATATAGTTCTTAATTGATTTCTTTTTTTCCTTTTTGTGTGTATGTCAGTGTGAGTATTGAAAGAGAAAGCAGAGAATCTTCGAAGCTCTGATTTTTTTTGTTTGTAAATAAAACATTCATTTCATTTTGTCTGCTTTGATCTTGATGTATCCAATAATAAGCCTTGAAATGCTGTTGACTCTTTACTATGTTTTCGATCTTGCTGTGTCCAATAATGAGCCTGGAAATACTGCTGCAGAATTTTCTTTCAACAGTATATCACACACTCAATAGGTGTTTTAATCACATTGTACAATATTCTGCAGGAATTCCTGAGGGATAGAAGCAAAGTGCAGCAGTTGGTTCAACTATTTGATCCAGTTGTTCGAGCCGTTGATGGCACAGCTGGAGAGGCAGTCTCAATGCGAGTTCATTCAGTTTTGATGCTGCTGAGAAATGCTAAAGATTGTCGAATCCTACTCGCAAAGAGTAAGCTCAGCAAGTTTGTTTTATCTTTTGTGAAACAGGTGGATTTAGAATGCTCAGATGGATAACATAATTGGTATATTTAGTCATAAAAGACTTTCTAGGTAAGTTATCCGTGTAAATACCTCTTACTTTTTTCAGTTGTTGATTGTCAAGTTACTATCTGTGGGACGTTCGAATCCTTGTGATTTTCTTGAGCGAATTTAATCAAGAATGTAATGAAAGCCAAAGGTTGTAAGCTTTAAACTGTTTCTTTTTCAGATCAGTGGGAATTTCAACAGCTGCATTTGCCCTTGCTATTCTTGAGGGAAGCACAAAACCTGGTGTCTGGTTTCCTGAAGAGGTATGTAATGATGAACCAACATACCCGTGATTTTCTTTTGGCAGAATAGGTAAAGACATCCCTAAACTTGATACTTTTTAATGAGTGTACACCGTAACTATACGTGATTTTAATTACCCCTATGCTTACTTTTTCTGATTTTATTACCCCCTAACCTGCCACATGTCAGTGGAAGTTGGTTCAAATGGCTGAGTGCGCGTGGGGGAGTATATTTTTTGCCACATTAGTTGAATATTTTCCTTTCCCAATCCTAGAACCATCCCTAACGGTAATAATTTCCCCCAACGGTAACAACCCCTATTTATTGGCTTCTTTCTAAGTCTTCAGCCACAATCTTCTCACAATCTTTGTCCAGCCAAATTCCATTTCCCCCTAAGATTTTGACTCTTATTTTTTGCCCAAATAACAGTTTTTTTACTTGGAAGATAGAAGATGAATGTTTATTGTAGATGTGGCAAGCCAGCTCCTTTAAAAGTTGTGTGGACTACTGCAAATCCTGTGCGACGATTCTTTGGATGTAGTCTTTATCCGAAGATAAATTCTCGTCGATTTTTTCAGTGGTATGAACCTCCATTTTCGGAGCAAGCAAACATTGTTATTTCGGGATTGTTGAAGAAGACTAACAAACTATCGAAGAGGGAAAGAATGCTAAAGTTTCTATTATTTTTCAGTTTACTTTTGAATCTGATTTTGCTCATATACAAATAATGGTTATCTGGTAGTATGTAATAGAAGTTAAGCAATATGATATGCTGCTCGACACTGCTATCCACAAAAACAACCAATCACAATCACAACATTTTGTCAACATAGCTGGTAATTTGACAAAGAAAGTCGGAATTTAACATCTAACAATAGAGTTAAACTATGCTGTCCATATACAGCTAGACATACACATGACAAACAAGTTCACAAAATAAAGTTTAGTACCACCATCAGTATTCACAAAAAACAGACACCCCATGAATTCAACTAAAACAGCTACCCCACGAATTCAACAAAAAAAGAAGTCTAGTATATCAAATACTACATCCAAACAGTAAAGAAATTCAAGTGGTCTTCTTGGAGGGTGATTTCCCCATAACCTTAGATCTTGTTTGTATTCCACCGGATTAGGACCTTGTCTTGATTCTAGCCATTGCAGCTTGGACTTGAAGTTGTCTTTGAGTCACAGCTTCCTTCCCTTTCCATTTCAAACCTTTAGAAGGCTTATATCCAATATCACCAGTAACATGGGTAGAATCAATTAAAGGGCCAGTATAAACCTTTCTGGCTGTAGGCAAACCATGCTGAGAACATTCAAACCAAAAGATATATTTCAAAGTTAGACAATAACATCATATAGTAAGTTAGACAATAAAATGTAAGGACAAAAAAAAATACACTTACATTAATACTTGTAAAACCAGATTGTGCAACAAATACACCATGTCCTTGAAGCCTAGGCCTCTTGTAGTGGCTTCTTGCCCTCCCCCCCCCCCCCGAAATTCAAATTTTCCTCCGGTACTTGTAGATGCATTGTCGATTCCTTTCTGCCTCTCTTTTGTGAAGTTTTTGTTGTTGATTGTTGTGAGTAATTAGTGGTGTATTATATGAGAAAATGAGGAATTAGCTCTTAGATAACTAAGAAGATAGTAATAAAGGAAGAAGGTAAGAAGGTACCTCTTGATTACTTGTTGGTCTTGTTGGACAACTCCTCATATTATGAGTACTTGCTTTGCAAATGGAGCATGTCATAGTTATTCCCTTCTTTGATAATTTTTCAGCCCTTTTTATTTCTCCAACTTCCTTTCTTCTATTTTTTTTGGCTTTCCAGGCATATTTTGAACTAGAGGAGGTAATACCTTGGGGTTACTGCTCTGCCACATATTTTGAATTACACAGATAGTTGTAAGTGGTTTTATAGCATTTGTGTCTTGGATTGTAAGTCTTGATTGTGACATTTGTACTCCTACCTTCCCTGCTAGCATACAACAACTAAGGACAACTAGTTTTGCACTTAACTCTGACTCTATGTGGCTCATTGGGATCCTTAACTAGCTGAATACCTTTCTTTATAGCATACTTGGTAACTGCTTCTCTAAATTCCTTCACATTCTCAAATACCAACCCTAATTGCCAAGTAACAATTTTGGCAGAAGGATCATAAACCACTCTATTTGTTTTTTTCCTTTCCCTTAACTGTCCCATATCATCTACATCATCATCAGATACAGGATCACCCTCCCCTTCCAGATCTGATTCAGATTCAAAACTATCTTGATTTGAACTATCATAGTAAGGCTCATCATCACCTCCTAATTTGTCTCTCATATTTTTTTTAGACTGATCTATGTTCTCATAACCATCATCAACTCCAACTTCACCTAAAAATCCATCAGGTTTTTCCTTCCTAAGTTTTCTCCTATTCTTTTGTCTATATTTCTTCATATCTTCTTTAACAACCCTCAACTCTTCATGGACATCACTTCCATAATCAAATGACCTCTCAGATTCATCACCAGATGCTATTTCTTCTTCTTCTCCAGCTGGTTCTACTTGTTGAGAATCAGCAACAATGTCCTCTACATCATCAGCAGCAGCAGATTCTTCTTCCTCTGAAGAGGAAGTCCAATCTATGGGTGAATCCTCTTCTTGAGTGGTATTCAAAGGAGTAGGTAACCCCAGATCTGGATTTGCAGCAGTAGTATTTAAAGAAGGACCACAGGGAACAAAAGATTCCCTATTGTCTTGTTGTGTGCTAGAAGATGCATTAAAAGGCTCACCCACGTGGCTTATTTGGCTACGCTCTATAGCATCGACCTCCTCAAATTGTGAGTCAGAAGAGACAAAAATGTCTATTGTGTCCCCATTGTTTAATAACATAGCAAGGTCCATTAAATCCCTATCTTTTGTTAATTCAACCAAACTGCCACCCTTAGCACTCATAATATAAGTTTTTCCTAACTTTCTAATCCCAAAATCCTTAGCATAATCAGATAACGCTGGTATTGACAAGTGGTCACAGTCGACATTAGTAACATGTTCAACCCTACCCCCAACATATAGAGGTCCTACCTCACTCAACAATATCCCACCAGTTTTCCATCTTAGATTCACATACTTAGTATCCATGGGACCCTACACAGCAATAAGAAAAAGGAAAAAACAACTCTCAAGACAGAAGTTTGTAAAATTATATACAGAAGATTACAAATAAACGGTAATCGGTAAAGACCCCCACAAATTAACAAACAACATAGAAGCCCTAATTTAACCCTAATCGGCATGCATGCAAAAGTCACAATCAACATAAAAGTCCTGATTTTACCCTAACAGAAAGAGGCACGCATACCTTCAAACTCAGAGTGAAAATAGTAGAAATATTGGCGAGAATCAAAGATACCCAGTAGCTTTTAGCTCCTCCACAGTAGCTTTTAGCAGCACCTCAACGGAGAACCTTATCGACTCACAAAATCAAGCTCAAGAACGCACAATCGTCTCTGTCATTGATGATGGGAGTGAAGCGGTGAACCCTAATTTTTCTATTTTATCGACCAAATGAACGATGGTAAAAGGGATGGGTTAAATTTAAGGGATTAATTTTCAAGGCGGGTCGGGTGTTCTAATTGGATAACCGAATTATTCCAATGTGTACAGCAACATCAACAAGCATTTACAGTATATGGCACGTGTATGCACGATAGAGAGGTTTACTAAGTTAGGGGATAATAAAATCCGAAAAAGTAAGCATAGGGGGGTAATTAAAATTACGTATAGTTAAGGTGTACACTCATTAAAAAGTGTCAAGTTTAGGGGTTTTTTTACGTATTCTGCCTTAACCTTTTCTTTTTCTTTATAAATAGTAGATTTCGGGTCCACTTGCACGCACCTCACTTATTCCATCAGGTTCTTCCTACTCCCACCAGTACATGTATCGAGTAACTCCATCCACCAAGGTTTAAGCAGATGAGAAAAAATCACTTAGTATTTTGTCTCTATTGATTTAACCATAATCTCCCGTGGTTTTCGTCATCCACTGCATACACTGCTAGGCAGGGCGGCTCTAAAGGCTTGGGCAATGAGGCCATCGCCTTAGGCCTCCAAAATTTGAAGGCCCCAATTTTTTTTAATTTCTTATTGTTATTACTATATATTATATAAATTATATAAATAATTACTATAAAGACAAGTGTTACAGTATATTTTTTTTTGTTATTTGATTGAGGTTATTTTATATCAATAAATTCATAAATTATGATAATTTTCTTCACGGATTAATTAGTATATTTGCTTCAGTTTCAATTTTAATTTTATCCTTTTTATATAGGAATTAAGTTATATATATCGACAACATAATGAATTTCTTGTAGAATGTTCTCTCAAACTGCATAAACACAAAAGCATTCATGCACCGGTTTTCTTATAGTGTAATTCGACATGTTATATTAGGTTATTTATAATTATTTTAGATATTCACCGACAAACGCTACTTAATAGAATGAACTACAATTATAGTTTAAATTGATCATATGGAGTAAAAATTTTTGACCCCATTAATGCTCAAAACTTAAGCTATTACGTTATTGTCACGACCCAGATTTCCCACCATCGAGATCATGATGGTGCCTAACTTTTCGGATGCTAGGAAAGCCAACGATTAAAGATTTAATACGCTAACCCTAGACCAAATCAGTAAATAACAGCAATTAAACCAAAACAGATTAAAGAGTGCAGAATTTCATAATAACCCAAGTGCTTATACACAACTACCCAGAAACTGGTGTCACAATTCACGACCTTATAAGAGTCACTACAAATACTGGCTGAAAGAAAGTACAACTGTCTTTGAATTAAAAGAAACAGTTAGCTAGAATAACTAGAAGGGGGCTCCAGGGTCTGCGAACGCCGGCAAATCTACCTTGGGTCTCATGTGGGTCTGAAAGCAGCAACTCAGCCCGGGTCAACACGGTCCTGTACCAAAATTTGCACAAAAAGTGTAGAGTACAGTATCAGTACAACCGACCCCATGTACTGGTAAGTGCCGAGCCTAACCTGCGAGGTAGTGACGGGGCTAGGACAAGACACATACATAAACCTGTGCAGTTAAACAACATGCTAGCAGAATAACAATTAATAGAAGCTAAGCAGAAATTAAGGGGGGGGGGGGTGAAACATGCTATGGGGGTACCAAAAATAAAGAATCACAGCAGTAAAGGAATTTAAACAGCTAGTACACTTTGTACCGGTAATAACAAGTAAACACAGCAAATGGAAAAGGCACGGCATCATCACCCTTCATGCTTTTACTCTCAACCTCACCAAACAATCAATAATAGAAACGTGCACGGCAACAACCTTCGTGCTTTACCACTCTTCCTTACAACATAAGTAATAGAAACGTGCATGACATCACCCTTCGTGCTTTATCACTCTACCTCACCAAAATAGAGACAACAATTATAGAGAGATAGAAATGGCAACAACAAGTCTTGCTTCAAATCTTAGTTCCACAATACCAATCTCAACTTTGGGTAAAAACCCCCATCAATACCAAATTCCATAAAACATGATAAGAAACTTCTCAACACATCGAATAAAGTAGTCTACACATGAACAATATGATAAAAATAAATACAATATTTCCAAGAATAAGACTCACACACATGTTATGACTCGACAACAACGTATAGATACTCGTCACCTCACCTATGCGTTGTACCCAACATCCAAACACGTAGCAAATAAGCAAATAACACCTAATCCCTCAAGCTAAGGTTAGCCACAACACTTACCTCGCTCATTCGGCCAAACTCAAGGCTCAATTACCGCTTTGCCTCTAGTATCCACCTCCAAACCACTCGTATCTAGCCACAATTAACTCAATATCATCAATTATTGCTAAAGAAATTAACTACAATTCATAAATTTAGTTTTACCAAACTTTTCCCAAAAAGTCAAAAACCGACCCCGGGTCCGCATGATCAAAACTCGAGGTTTGGACCAAAGCTCATTCACACATTCACCCCGAGCCCAAATATGTAATTAGTCTTGAAATAAGACCCCAAAATCTTCGTCGCGTTCGCGAAGGCGTTGCCCCCCTGGCCTTCGCGTTCGCAAGCCCTTGCTCGCGTTCGCGTAGAAGGAAGTCTGATCCCTCCCCCAGGTCCCCAATGCTTCGCGTTCGTGATGAGCCGGTCGCGTTCGCGAAGGGTAACGCCCCCATCACTCCGCGTTCGCGACTTGGCCTTTGCGTTCGCGTCACCCTGACCAGCCCACCTTTCGCATTCGCGAGAGTAGCTTCGCGAAAGAAAAGAAGGACACACCAGAACAGCTGTTGCGGCAAAAATACCAGATTTTCAAAGTTCAAAACATCCCGTTGCCTATCCAAAACTCACCCAAGCCCTCAGGGCTCCAAACCAAACATGCACACAAGTCTAAAAATATCGTACGAACTTACTCGCGTGATCAAATCTCCAAAATAACACCTAGAAATACGAATTTAGCACCAAATTGCATGAATTTTTCAAGAAAGTATTAAAACTTCTATTTTCTCAACCAAAGGTCCGAATCACGTCAAATCAATCCCGTTTCTCACCAAATTTTACAGATAAGGTATAAATATCATAACGGACCTGTACCGGGCTCCGGAACCAAAATACGGACCCGATACCAACAAGATCAATTGTTAACCAAAATTCTTAAAACCATTATAATTTCAGTCTTACAATTTTAATCAAAAATTCATTTCTCGGGTAGGGATCTCGGAATTCGATTCCGGGCATACGTCCAGCTCTCATATTGTACTACGGACCCAGCGGGATTGTCAGAACTCGGGTCCGGGTCCGTTTACCCAAAACGTTGACCGAAGTCAACAAAAATCAACTTTTTAGGCTAAAAATTATTATTTTTTTATCAATTTTCCACATAAAAGCTTTTCGGAAACACTCCCGGACTGTGCACGCAAATTGAGGAGAGATAAAAATGAGATTTTGAAGACCTTGAAACACGGAATCGAGTTCTAAAACATAAGATGACCCTTTGGATTATCACAATTATATACGTTTATTTCTTTTTCTTGTTTGTGATGATAGCCAAATCAAAATATGTAGGCCTCAACATCCGATAGTCCACCACTTTGTTTTTTGTACTCTTCTTCCAATTTTTGTATTTTTGAAATTCGCTTATTTTTGTCTTAAATGATTAATTTATTATTTAGAAAGTAAATTTTATTGTTAGTGTAAATATTTTTATAAAATAAATTTAAGGGCCTCTCAATATGATTTCGCCTTAGGCCGCAAGATCCATCGAGCGCCCCCTGCCGCTAGGCCATGCCCCTTGGGCGCAACATGCTCGTGAATTATTTTGAGTGTCAACTTCATATTTAAACATTATTTGGAGCTTTCTCTGCAGCCTGAAGGAATTGCAGTTGAAGCAAGGGAAGTTCTTCTCCAAAGAGCTTCGCAGGGAACTATAAACTTCATAATCAACAAGTATGCATTTATTTTTTTCGCATTTTTCTCTTGCAATGTGTGCTGCTTAAATTTTTAATATTTCAAATGTTACTTCTGGATTCTTCTTAGGGCTCCATGGATGGTAGAAACAAATCCTAAAGAACTCGGATTTGGAATTTATTCATAATTTCAGTATACAGATTTTACAGATCAAGTAAGTCTTCCTAAGTTTCATGCTGGTTCATAATATGTACCTTTTGCATTTCAAATTTATAAATATATGGAGGTAGACAACCTTGACACTTGTATTGAGCTGTTTTCTCGATTGTGTAAATATCTTTTACATCATCAATGCATAGAGCTTAAATTCATTTCTTTTTCCCTTTTCAGGCGTTGGGCGTGGAGCCAAAAAAGCAACCTCAACCTGAAGATTAAAAAGATTACATTGTCTTATACATTGAAAATGCAGATAAAACAATGAGATCTCATTTCATTGTCTACCTTTCCTTTTCTTTCCCCTAATTATCTTCTTTTACATAGCTGGAGTACAATTCTATTAGAGAAGTCTGCTGTATAACAATGTTAAGACACATTTGATAATTGTACATATTAAGCAGTTCCTTGTTGATGCATCTAAGTTGTGTTAATGTTTTACTTACCAATTCTTTGGACAATAACTACTTCCCTAAGGTTCGTGCACGATAACAACAACAAAAAACCCTGTGAAATCCCACAAGTGAGGTTTAGGGAGGATAATGTGCACGTAGACCTTACTCCTACCTTATGAAGGTAGAAAGGTTGTTTCTAATAGACCCTCGGCTCTCGTGCATGATAACCAGACTTACTAAAATTTAAGTAGAGGAAGACTCAATATATAACAGAAGTTAAACAAAGTGTTTAATGCCCAACACCAAGTTTGTCAAATGAAATTTCCAGGAAAGATGTTACATTGGCCAAAAATAAATCAAACAATTATCAAATTGCTCAAAAGGAATTGATTTTAATGTATTACAAACAACAGAAAACCCCACCCACAAGTCCAGATGCAATATTATAGAGCCCATAAACAAAGTTATTTTATATGAGGTCCTTATGTCCAAGCCTTGGTGGATAGAGTTACATAGTAACTGGGCTGGTGGGAAGTAGTAGGTCCACGGTGGAATTAGTCGAGGTGCGCTCAAGCTGGCCCGAGCACCACCGTTATCAATAAAGCAAATATGATAGAACTCATAAAAGTTACTCCACACTAAATATAAATGACCATCTTTCCACCTGCAGACGGTTATTTTCATCATAAGGACCAAAGGGATTCGCTCAGGCGCAGTACTTCAAATAATATCATCGTAGCAGGTAAGTTTGAAGTCAATCCTCTAAAGACTTTGCTAACTATAGGTTTGCGTTTTAACTTTTCAATTAATAAACTTCATGCCAAGTTTTTTGGTGGACAGTTATTTTATTCGCCATACTCCCAGATAATCTAATTCCCAAAAGATATCTCCAATGACAGTTTCTGTCTGTTTAACCAAAAAGTTACTAGAATATCTAAACGTATCTCACCAAATTTCATATAGAAAACTGCTGATATTGCTGAGGAAGCAAAAAGTTCTACTTTTGTGCCCATATACTTAGGCAAGGTAGACAGAAGTGCGAATATGGTTTCACAAGCTTCTAGGTAAGCTTGGGCCTAGAAGATGAGCCTGCTTTTGATGACAAGCTCAACTTGATGTTTTTCATCTAATTTCAAATTAGCAAAAAATATGGATCACAATATTGAATTAATTTTAAATACCTCACCTTTTTGACAAATTATAACTTTCTTATTTGCTTTAAAAAAGTATAAACATTATTAATCATAGAACTGTGATTCTTTGCCTCCAATTTCAAGATTTATGGCTAAGACAATCAAGGTAAATCCATATCAAACCACGCATCCATACACAAATATTCAGATGTATTACAGTGCAAAGGAAGTGAATTTAGATCAAATTTGGTCATGGAACAAAACATGGGCTCAGATATCAGCATCTTCATTCATTGGCTAGATTTAGTTGGATATCAAATGATCTTAACCCAATCTAGCAAAAGTTACTTTTCTTTCCTTTTTTAAGCAAAGTTTTTCTTCATAAAACTTTACAATTCCTTTTACTTAACCACATTTGTTTTAACAAAATAATTGGGATAAAAGCTAAGGAGCCTAATTGCAGCGACCAGCCAATACCTACTGCCATTATGTGCCGCGGACTGTCACCATCACCAGCCTTGGCAACTTTTTCAACTGTATTACTTACTCATGTAGAGACAAACTCCACATCAAGCTAACTGGGAATTCATGTGTGACGGGAGATTCATGACAGGTTGGATGGAGTGAGCATCTCAGCCAATGCAAGCTTTGAACAGTTAAAGGAGGCCATCTGCAACACCCTTACTTATTTTCTGTGTCGTTAGTGTTGGTGTTTTAAGACAATTTCTTTTGCTCTGCTGGTTTTGGGCTGTGTTTTCAGTCTTTGGATAATTTTTATTTTTTTTGTTGTGCTGTTTTTGGGCTGTTTTCCCAGCCGTTGGATGATTACTATAACTTTTCTGCTTCAATGCTATCTATTATGTTTAGTTCTTGTCTTGTTCCCTCTTTGCTGATGCCAAAAAGGGGGAGAAGGAGTATATGTTATATCTGTACAGGTACAACTTGCGGCAGAAGTCGACTCTATCTCAAACTAGTCAACTGCATACATTGAGGGGGAATATCATGGACTAGTCAACTGCATACATTGAGGGGGAGTAAAGCACATGGTGTTTACATTTATATATTATTTTGTCATCATAAAAAAGGGGGAGATTGTTAGATCCAATTTTAATGATGCAAATAATATACATATGCAGGAAATCAATTACAAGGAATCAAAAAGATACTACAAGACTGCTGGAGTCAATCCTGATGCCTAAGGAAAAAAATCAATCAACAAAGATTACAATACAATCAGCAAATTTGATTAATAAGGAAAGAATCCAATCAGCCAATCAATCAGCAAAGAGTAACGACCAGCTGCGATGGAGAGAATCAAGCAAGCCTAAACTTAAGGCACGAATCAACGCCAGCATCCCGGAAGATCGAAGATTCTGTAAAGATTGGTACGCGACTAATTTCGGAAGAACCAACAATAAAGAGCAAGTCTTCATTACATGCATCTGCTGAAGGAAGGAAATCAAGGGAAAGCAACGGCCAGCTATCTTATTCTTGAAAAGAATCAATCTCTTTCCAAGGATCAAATCTCTTGGGTTGTCAAGCCTCGACCTTCATCAAAGTATTTATACCCAGCCTTAAACCCTAGTCAGACATACTTTGATCGAACCAAAAACCACTCTCTTTATTCTACTGCAAACAAACATTGTAGTTCACTAAGATCTGCTGTGTAACAAGTCAGAGAAAAAAAGGAGAGTATAACACTGGTGAGGCATTGTATCAAAAGAAACGAGTGCTAGAGAAACGTTGTTGTCAATTCACTTCAACTGTACTCGGAGAAACACATTTACTAAAAGAGAACTCCCTTGCAACCCAAGGGGACTGGACTAGGATTCACATTGAATCCGAACCAGTATAAAATCCTGGTGTCTTTAATTCCTGCATTTACTTTCTGTCATTATAACTGTTAAGTTATTATATCTAGTCGACTACTAGATTAATTAGTCGACTAATAAGCGATTAAGTTTAAATATTTACAATTCACCTCTTGTACTTTCAAGAATAACTACAACTATATAGAAAAAGACACAAAGTGTTCATTCCTTTTTGTACAGCATTTTCGTTTGAGATAAAATTGTCACTGTTTTTACTATGGAAGCATAAGCAGTTGTACAGTTTACTTAGATTGTTTGGCGTTAAACAAAATATGAAGATGACCAATTATTTAACTTATGGAAAAAGGATGAATTGCTTCCCTAATTTATTTTTGGAACGAAATGGATAACCTGAATTAGAGGCATTCAGAATGCTATGGGGAGCAAAATTAAATAAAGAAGGAAGCAAAATTGGAAAACCTTTAATAACGATATAGTTAAAAAGAATATCTGGATTGAAAGCAAAAACCTTTTGTAGAGCTCATCTAAGGTCCCATGTGTATGGGTCAAAATCTGACCGTAGTGGTCGCTCACAATAGGAATGATGAGGGGTCGACCAAGTTGGGATCCCGCCCAGGTGACGAATAGCAAAGAACACCTCGGCCATCCTCGGGGTCAAATCATCGAAAGCATGTTGGTCAAACACCATTGAATAGAAGTCCTAGGAACTGTAGCAGGTAAGCTCAGAAGTAGGGGGGACTTTTTTTCGAGAGAAAAAAGGACAACAAACAAGGGAGGAGAAAGAGAAACACGAGGAAAGAAGAATCTCTCACGGATGAAGAGTTGCTTCACTTTTTCCTCTTTACCCCTTTATTTATAATTCTTTTTGGCTTCAGATGTAAGCCATCTCTCGTGTTTGATGAAAAATTATCACATCAATAATCTAATATGTTCCTACCTTTCGTTATTTCTCGCTGTATAAGTTTGGATCTGGAGTTAATTATGCTTGGCTAAGATTTACCTTCTTTATTATTGATAATTGAAGTTGGCAAAAGAGTCTTAAATATTTTGCTCAAACACCATGCAGATTCATCTTCTTAGACAAATTAAAACGAGCCCTAGACACATGCACCCGATGTGTAAAAAAGCTAAAATCAAAAAGACAAATAAAAGAAAAGGAAACTGAAACTCAAACTTAGAAAAATTAACTTCTTCAATCTTGGTGGACTGATAAGTCGGGATTTTAACATGTTTTATGCTCCTACTTGCCTGTGCTTTGGTTATGAATTGCTACAAAATAGTTCCAAAATGCTCACAAGTTGTACTTGATTGCAGGTTTGAACGACAAAGAGACAAATGTCAAAGATCGGCTCAAAAAGGAGTAAAACCTGCTCAAGTGTCAAAGACTAAGTAAGTTGAGGAAAAGAGAACCTAGTGCGGACCGCCCAAATGTGAATGCGGCCGCACTAGGAGATTCAGAGGATGGCATATTCAGTGGAAGTGCTATGCGGCCGCGGTTGGATTCTCGCGGTCCGCGGTCAGGCTACGCGGCCGCTTCACACTTTTGTGCGGTCCGCGTGAACGAGATTCAGAGAGTTGAAATTTTGGCAAATTCAAGCAATGCGCTCCGCGCTCCTTTATGTGCGGCCGCGCTGCATTTCCACGCGGTCCGCGGTCCTCAACCTCAGAGAAGCAGAAACCAGAAGTCCAAGAGCCAGTGCGGCTGCGGTCCTTTTTGCGCGGTCCGCACTGACCCCGCAGGGGTATTTTTGTCCAGTTTTTTCAGCTTAGTATAAATAGAACATTCTACCATTTTTAGGTCAAGTTTTATGTTCTGAACGCAGCTGAGCTCGTGAGACTCGATATTATAGCCATTTTTGGCACTATTGCTCTTTATTATTGTAGTTTCTTCTTAGTAATTAATTAATATGCTTAGTTCTTCATCTATTTCTTCAATTTCTGTACCTAGCATGAGTAGCTAAACCCATTAGCTAGGGTTGTGGCTCAACCCTAGTGTGGGTAATTGATGGGTGTTGCCATCTAAGGTTAGATTAATATTGGGTGTTTGTTATTTGGGTTGATTTTAGGTTTTAATTAAGGATTGGTGGTTGCAAACACTGATTCTAGCTTTGTGGGTCTACCCCTTCTTGAGAAAGAGAGTCCATGACCCCAAAATTGACCCAACAAGGAATTGGGATGGACTCATGAGAAATGATAGTCCCAGTTAACGGGTTAAATCTTGAGAGAGTAATTACCCTACTTGAACCCTAGTTGCTTGGTCTAATTGGCCTACCCAATTGGTCTCGAGAGAGTCAATTGGGCAAAATCATTCTCTCTACCGAGAGGTGTGAGAGTGGGTACGATTGTGCAACGGTTATAGCATAAGCCCCAAATATGTCAATCTATCCTTAGTAGTTTTCACCCGTTAAATAACCACCTAGGTGATGCCATGACCCTAGTGCCTTTCTCTATATTAAATACAACTTAGCAATATTCTCGTAGCATAATTTAGCTTTAATCATTAGTTTTATAATAGTAGTTATAAAAATAAATNGTTTTCTTAAGGCCACGGTTCTTTCCGAGGATGAAATATTGTGTGAACCGGGTGGCTCTTCCCGATGATGGATGGAGTGACAACCTTCTTAAGGGTTTGAGTCCGTTTCTTTGATTTTTCTTTTGTTTTTGATAGGTGTAGTTAAGGGCACCTCAAGCAAAGCTTCACTTGGGCCTAGCACATTTGCCTTTGATCCCATGGTCAAAGACATAATGTTGTGTTTAGGATGGTGAAAGTCGTGGCTTTGAGACTCTTGCGTTGACCAAACAATCATCATGTGGTCTTTTCGGACCATTTTGTGCTTGAATCATAACTAAGGTCGTTGTGGGCCCTCGACTCGATGTCTTTAGCAATCCCCTAGCGTGTATGGTGAGGAATCGAATTGTGAGTCCAAGTCCCGAGCCAATGGTCTAGAACTTGCCCTGAATGTTTGTTGAGGCGAAATCCTAGGTGAAATTTGACTTGAGAAGTGATTATAGGCTCTCCTTGATCCGAATGTTAAGATGAACAATTCCATAGCCTACCAAAGAGATGATCCCTAGTTAACCCTTTTGAGTCTTAAACCTTTTTCTTTCAAGAACCAATGCTACAAGCCTATACCCGTTCTAAATGATTACCCTCTCTTGGCACCCAAATCTTCCCTTGAGTAATGACAAATGTCTAAGTTTGAGGGGAGAGACAAGAAAGGAAACAAAATGGTAGGAAGGTACAAAAGCAAAAGAAAAAGGAAGGCAATGAAAAAGCAAGAAAAGAAAGAAAAAGACAAAAAGAAATTCCAATGTGAACAAGAATAAAAAGGGATTCAAGGAAAATAAAAGTAAAAAAGGTGTGGAAAAGTAGAAAAAGGAGAAATGTTTTAAATTGCATAAGAAAGAGTGACAATGTGTCTCTCTAACCCCTTGTAAAGAAGTGAAATACTCAAAAGAGTCACGAAACTTGTGCCAAAATGAATCAAAAGAAGTGCTTAAGGGAAGATTGAACATACTTGAATAAAAACATGTCCTACCCTTACCCAAAAGCCTTCACAATGACTCCACAAAAGCCCTATAGGATCTTGAGTTGAAGGAAACCTACATTAGTTGATACTTACATAAGGGGAAAGCATATGGTACCTAGAGCCGGACTTGTGACCTTCTTCTTGAGAGAGATGAGTGAAACTCCATCAACCTCGATTTGTGTGTTAATACTCTAAAAGGTGAGGTTCGTTTAGGGAGAGTTGAGGATGTGTGAGTTTGGGTTCCACAATGATCAAAGTAATTGAGAGAAGTTCTTTGATGAAATGTGTCAACTCTTAAGGCTCTTGTGTCACACTTGATCCATGGTTTTTCAAAATTTTAATGTGTTAATGATGCATTCGTATTGAGGGCAATTGTTATTCCCAATTGATGCTTGTTGAGGTTGCTTTAGGATAGCTGGAATTACTTGGATTTTCCTTTAAGGGGTGGGTCTTATTTTGTTTGCTTGAGGACAAGCAAAGGTTTAAGTTTGGGGGAGTTGATAAGTCGGGATTTTAACATGTTTTATGCTCCTACTTGCCTGTGCTTTGGTTATGAATTGCTACAAAATAGTCCCAAAATGCTCACAAGATGTACTTGATTGTAGGTTTGATCGACAAAGCGACGAATGTCAAAGATCGGCTTAAAAAGGAGTGAAATCTGCTCAAGTGTCAAAGACTAAGTAAGTTGAGGAAAAGAGAACCTAGTGCGGACCGCGCAAATGTGAATGCGGCCGCACTAGGAGATTCAGAGGATGGCATATTCAGTGGAAGTGCTACGAGGCCGCGGTTTGATTCTCGCGATCCGCGGTCAGGCTACGCGGCCGCTTCACACTTTTGTGCGGTCCGCGTGAACGAGATTCAGAGAGTTGAAATGTTGGCAAATTCAAGCAATGCGCTCCGCGCTCCTTTATGTGCGGCCACGCTGCATTTCCACGCGGTCCGCGGTCCTCAACCTCAGAGAAGAAGAAACCAGAAGTCCAAGAGCCAGTGCGGCCGCGGTCCTTTTGGCGCGGTCCGCACTGACCCCGCAGGGGTATTTTTGTCCAGTTTTTCCAGCTTAGTATAAATAGAACATTTTACCATTTTTAGGTCAAGTTTTATGTTCTGAACACAGCTGAGCTCGTGAGACTTGATATTATAGCCATTTTTGGCACTATTGCTCTTTATTATTGTAGTTTCTTCTTAGTAATTAATTAATATGCTAAGTTCTTCATCTATTTCTTCAATTTCTGTACCTAGCATGAGTAGCTAAACCCATTAGCTAGGGTTGTGGCTCAACCCTAGTGTGGATAATTGATGGGTGTTGCCATCTAAGGTTAGATTGATATTGGGTGTTTGTTATTTGGGTTGATTTTAGGTTTTAATTAAGGATTGATGGTTGCAAACACTGATTCTAGCTTTGTGGGTCTACCCCTTCTTGAGAAAGAGAGTCCATGACCCCAAAATTGACCCAACAAGGAATTGGGATGGACTCATGAGAAATGATAGTCCCAGTTAACGGGTTAAACCTCGAGAGAGTAATCACCCTACTTGAACCCTAGTTGCTTGATCTAATTGGCCTACCCAATTGGTCTAGAGAGATTCAATAGGGCAAAATCACTCTCTCTACCGAGAGGTGTGAGAGTGGGTACAATTGTGCAACGGTTATAGCATAAGCCCCAAATATGTCAATCCATCCTTATTAACATCTACCCGTCAATTAGCCACCTAGGTGATGCCATGACCCTAGTGCCTTTCTCTACATTAAATACAACTTAGCAATATTCTCGTAGCATAATTTAGCTTTAATCATTAGTTTTATAATAGTAGTTATAAAAATAAATAAAAAAACAAGAATGTTTGAAGTGACATTAGGAGTACAAACACATCTCTAGACTAGACAGAAAATCCAACTCCATTATTAGCTCCCTGTGGAAATTCGATCCCGAACCACTATTTAGGTAAAAACTATTGCGACCCGCTCTTCCTATCTTAGTGTAGGATCGAGTCGGCAGCGATCATGGACCTACAGACTAAATATACTTATCTTGTCTTGAATGGTAAAAATAGTAAAGATACTTGCCTCGCCAACTCCCCCCCCCCCCCCCCCCCCCCGACGACACGATTCAGTGTATCTGCACTAGGATTACTTGAATAAAACTCCATGTACTGATGTAAGACCCTAGAGAATTCATCATTCATGGCATAAGCAGGAGCATAAGACGCCACCTTAGCGTAGTTCTTCATGAACCTCATCTGAATATCTTCCAAGTATGAGAATGGAATCCTTCCTAAATAAGAAAGAATTGTTAATGATAGATGACAAAGGGTGCACAGTGGTAGTAATAACCATTAATCTCCCCTAGGATCCAAACATTCATGATGGTAGAAGAGACAAACATATGAAATATGTGCATATTACTTCCTATCAGAAACCAGAGAAAGAATGAACAAAGTTTTCTTTCACTCTCTCCTTTAATTCCCTTTTGTCGATTCTCCCTTCCGTTCTCTTTCTCTATCATAGTTCAGGTCAAAGAAACCAATAGTAAAATTACTGAAGTCTTACTTTCCAACACCCACTTGACTAAAACAGAAAATAGCGTCTGAAACTCTAGCTCCTACCAGCCACCTAATCATCTACCTAGTGACATAGGTAGCTTGTTGCCTCGTTCAGTTAGAAGATTTGATAAGTGCCTCCTTTTGGAGCAAAAGTCTATGCAGATCATATTTTTCCAAAATGAGCAACTGCACATATACAGCAAGTACCCTGAGTACTCTGACGAATTGACCTTCTTTTTGGCATTGAAGTCGTGAATTCTTTTCCAAGGCAGAACTAGCAAGACCATTAACAACAAACACATAGCAAGCTGGGAAAAAACCCAACACCAACAAACTCCTCTCGACTAAATCCCTCCATCGGAAAATGTCACTGTTTATCGGTAAGTTAAATGTGTGTAGGTAATTGAATACTCTTGATATATGGAAAACCTCTAGAACAATGGTTCAAAGAGTTAAAACATTTAAGTGTGTTAAAAGAACAAAAATTTAAGTGTGGTTTTGTGTTAAGGCCTCATCAGCATATATTCTTTGCCTTTTCTTGAATCCCGTACAGAAAAATCCCAGATCACCCTCTCCACCCCACTACTCAAGCCCCCAATTGATTCTAGCAGATCAGTGGACAAATTTAGGAATCAAGGACAAATTGAGAAGGAGTCCTAGTTACAAGAATTCAAAGAACCAAGAAACACAATCAGAATGAATGTCATAGTTACACCAATATAAATGAACCAAGAGCAACATCCCAAACAACATATAGAAAAAGGAAACACTTAAGAAGCTGAACATTCCAATGTTTTTGAATTTCTTTTTATCACAGCACTGTCCGGATACCAACTGATTCCTAAATCCTACCAGTACCTGTACAAGATAACTCTACCAACAAATGCTTTGGCAGACGATAAGAGTGCACATAGTGTCTTATTACGCTATTCTACTACTTCGCCATCCCATGGAACTTCTATTCTCACAGGTGAGGTTGGCTTTTTGGTCCCTTTACTTTCATGTCAAAGACATTCAATCCCAGCAACGTCTAGGTACTAATACCAAGTCACTAATTTCAAATATATGCACCAAATTGCACACTAGCCTAGATATCACAACACACAATTAGCTCAAAAAGTTCCGAATTTGCAAATTCTACCAAATCCTCCAAATCAGAAAAGGAAGAAACATTTTTAACTTACTTCCAAAGGTATCATTAGCCATACAGAGGAAGGAAATGCCTTCTGATCTAAGGATATGAAAGATATAGCGATCTTGAGAGAAGCAAAGCCTTGACTCTGTTTCACTTGGAAGCTTCTCCAATATTCGCCGTGCCACCGCGCCAGTGTTTCCAGTCACCGCACTAAACTCCGCCAGAACCGTCGTCCTGGCCACTACAGCATAGAGTATCGCCATGTCAGCACCCCCCCCCCCCCTTGTATTCTACTTCTATAGAGTTATATCTTCTACTGTTGAAAATGAAGGATTCAGCTGTAGATTTTGGAATTGTTCGGTGTTCGAGAGAGACGGCGGTGGTGTCACTGGGAAGTCCACGGCGGTTTTGGGTGGTCGTTGAAAATCAGTAAAAAAATTGGAACAACCGGTTGGCTAAATTTGAATGATGTGGGCGTTTGGACGTAAGAATTATAAAATTACAAAATAAGTGAAATTTTTTATCAAGGGAATTGAAGTGATTTGAAAATTAGAATTGTGTTTGTCATTAATATAATTTGGAGTCGTTTTTGAATATTTATGAGTAATTTGAAGTTAAAATTTAAAAAATTAACTTTTTGGAGTTTTTTAAAATTTTCATGAGAAAACATTGATTACGTAAAAACGTAAAAAGAAATCGAAAAAAATGAAATTTATTTTATGCCAAACGGCCACATATTTTGTACTCTCTAAATTAACAACAGCAATAACAATTCCAGCATAAGAGATTTGAGGAGGGTAATATGTACGCATACCTTATTCCCACCTTGAGAAGGTGAAAATGTTATTTTCGATAGACGATCGGCTCAAGGAGGAGAGATGAAAAGAAAGTAGTAGCAACAAGCACTAATAACGACAAGATGATAAGCGAAAGATACATCATGCAGTAATAGAAATTTAAGAATAATAGAATACAAGACTAAAACTAATATTGCTGGTATGGTAAAGAAAAACGATCGACTACCTACTCCTCCACCCTAACTTTCGACTTCCACACCCTCATATCAAGGGGCATATCCTCGGTAAGTTGAAGCAATATCATATCCTACCTAATCACCTCTCCCCAATACTTTTTTAGCCTGCCTCCAGCTCATCTCAGACCCACCAAGGCCAACATCCAACACCTCGTTATTGGGACATCTGTGTTTATCCTCTTTATACGCTTAAATCATCTAAGTCCCACTTCCCGCATCTTTTCCTTTACGGGAGCCACTTCCACCCTGTACCTAATTCTTCATTTCTAATCTTATCTATCCTGGTATGTCGCACATCCATCTCAAGATCTTTATTTTTGTTCCTTTCATCTTCTGGATATGTGAGTTCTTGATTAGTCAACACTCTGCTCCATACAATATAGTCAGTCTAATCACTTTATAAAACTTACCTTTAAGTTGTAATGGCACTGTGACGATGCGACCCGTCGTCTCATGAGTTACCGCTCCGTCCCCCCCCCTCCCATTTCAGCTTCTTTATGCTTCGTTATCCGTGTTTTATGTGGTTGAGTTGATTGGGTTGAGTTCGGAGTGAATTTGGTAAGAAATGAGACACTTAGTCTCTTTAAGGAAGGCTTAGTTTGGAAAAGTCAACCGGATGTTGACTTATGCCTTAGATGGCTCGGATGTGATTTCCGATGATTCGGTTAGCTTCGGGGGATGATTTGTGACTTAAGAGTGTGATCGAAGTGGTTTTGGAGGTCCGGTGTAGAATTAGGCTTGAATTGGCGAAGTTAGTATTTTGGCGATTTCCGGTTGATAGGTGAAATTTTGATCCGAGGGTCGGAATGGAATTCCGAGAGTTACTATAGCTTCTTTATGTGATTTGGGATGTGTGTGTAAAATTTCAGGTCATTTGGATGTGGTTTGGTTGGATTTTTGATCAAAAGCGTGTTTCGGAAGTTTTTAGAAAAAACTTAGGCTTGAATTCGATGTGAATTGATGGTTTTGGTGTTGTTTGAGGTGTTTTGATAATTGGAACAAGTTTGGATGAGGTTTTAGGATGTGTTGGTGCTTTTGGTTGAGGTCCCGGGGGCCTCGGGGTGATTTCGGATGGCTAACGGAGAGTTTGGAGACTTAAGGAATTGCAGGTTATATGTTGCATCTGGTGTTTTCGCACCTGCGGCTTGGGAACCGCAGGTGCGGTGCCACACGTGCGAGAGGAAGGCCGCAGATGCGAAGTTGAGCCTGGGAAGCAGTTTCCGCAGAAGCGGTCAATGGGGCTGCATCTGCGAAGCCGCAGATGCGGAAATTCTGTCGCAGAAGCGACTTTTGGGGTTTAAATGAGAAACAGCAGGAGCGGTTGGTTGGACCGCAAATGCGGTACCACAGGTTCGGAAAAGGGGCCGCAGATGCGAAAACCCCTGGGCAGAATGTATAAATGGTTCTTCATCGCGATTTTTGAAGGGTTTATTCATTTTAACTTCCGACTTAAAGCTTTTTGGGCGACATTGAAGAGGGATTTCAAGGGAACTTCGATAAGGTAAGGATTTTAGACCTAAAACACAATTCTATGGTGATATTTCATGAATTAGCACGGAAAATTTAGGGATTATGGACTAAAAATGGAGGTTTAGTGCTTGAGATTAAGAGGGTTTAAATTGGGAATTTGAGGGGTCAATTGGACTCTGATTCTTGTGTTTTTGATATGTATGAACTCGTGGAGAGATAAGGAACCCGTTGATGTGAAAATTTCTGAGTCGGGGCTCAGGTTTTTGCTAATTTCGAGATTTTTGATATTTTTCGATTGTTTTCGCTTGGGCTTTGTTCCCTTATCATATTGTGACGTATTCGCTCTGGTTTTGGTCAGATTTGACGCGCGAGGAGGCCGATTTGAGAGGCAAGGGCATAGCGAGCTAGAGCTTTGGCCGGTTTGAGGTGAGTAATGATTGTAAATGATGTCCTGAGGGTTTGAAACCCCGGATTTGCACAATGTGGTGCTACGTTGAGGTGAGACACATGCTGTACGGTGAGCCGTGGGGTCCATTTCTACTGGGGATTGTGACTTGGTTCGTCCCGATTGATGATTTCATCGCATTTTTGTCTGAGATTTAATTATTATCATTATGATTTGTGCTAGTTGCAATGTTTGGGGCCTTGTGCCGACTTGTAGAACCCTTAGGGGCATTATGACTGATTTTCCTCACTTTACTTATTAAAAATCATATCCTCAGTCATGTTTCTATTTGTTTAAAACAATGTGAACCGGTTTTATCAATGCTAAATCCTAAATAAGGGAAAAATGAGGGCTGAGATCCCTACCTTATATTATTGTGCCCGAGAAACTGTGAGTAAAATGACTGAGATGGGTTGAGAACCCAATAGTGAGGATGTTATATATGTTATGGATCGGGCTGCGTGCCGCAGCAAATGTTTATGTGGATCGGGCTGCGTGCCGCATTGATATAGCGCTTGGGGTGTAGGAGCCTCTCCAGGAGTCTGCACACCCCTAGTGAGCGCAGTCGACTATTTATATGGATCGGGCTATGCCCCACAGCGATGTACGGATCGGGCTGCACGCCGCAACGGTTATTTAATTTTGATTATTATGAGAGATATATGGTTACTTGTACGAGGAACGGAATTATACTTGTTAATTTCCTGATAAACTACCTGTCTTACCTGATCTAAGGATATTTCACTTGACTTATTCACTATTTTTGCTACTTTGAGTTGATTTACTGCTTGATATAGAACTCCTTAGTGCCTTTACGTGATTTCTTTCTGTCAGCCATTATTTGTGATTATTACTCACTGGGTCGGAGTACTCACATTACTCCATGCACCTTGCGTGCAGATCCAGGTGTTCCCGAGGCATAGAGAGAGCTTTCTTGCTGTTCATCATTTACCGGAGTCATCGAGGTAGCTGCATGGCGTCCGCAGACCCGATTTCTCCTTCTACCTTCTTTATTTTAAGTATTCTTAGACTATCTTTGTATTAGGCTGTTTAAAGGCTTGTGATAGAGGCTCTTGGCTTGTGACACCAGATCGGTGGGCTATATAGTGATGTTATTATGATTTCTGCACATTTTATCTACTGTTTCAGACTTCTATTTATGTTGAATTGGTACTTAAACCTTGTTAGTTGTTAATGAACCCTATAAAAGAGGGGTTGTGATTGATAACTGGTCGGGCTTTCCTAGCAATGTGTTGGGCGCCATAACGACCGGGGTTGGAATCGTGACAAGTTGGCATCAGAGCCTAGGTTACCTTGGTCTCGCAAGTCATGAGCCGGTTTAGTAGAGTCTCGTGGATCGGTACGGAGACGTCTGTATTTATCCTCGAGAGGTTGCAGAACCTTTAGGAAAACTTCATATTCTTTAAATTCTTGTCGTGTGAACTTGTCGATCCAAGTACTAAACTTCTCTTTATTCTATTCTCTCACAGATGGTGAGGACTCGCGCTACCGAACGAGGTGGACGACCACCAGTACCACCCACTGAGGCCACCAGAGGCCGTGGATGCGATCGTGGACGTGGTAAAGGCAGAGTAGTGAGGGCAGCACCTGTTAATGCACCAGCTGCCCCAGCTCCGGATCAGACTCCAGCAGCACCAGTTCAGGCACCAGCTGTGCCCATCGTGATTCCAGGTCTACAGGAGACCTTGACACAGATCTTGACAGTTTGCACTAGCCTGGCTCAGGCAGTTTCAGCCACCACAGCAGCAGCTACTTTGCGGGCCGGGGGAGGCAACCCGACCCCCGCTGCTCGCACACCTGAGCAGGTAGTGCAGGGACTACAGACGCCAGAGGCACCTCCAGCTCAGCCGGTTGCACCAGTGCAGGAGTTCAGGGTTCCAGTCATGCCAGAGGATGAGCAGCGTCGTCTCGAGAGGTTTGGTAGACTCGAGCCTCCGACATACAGTGGTGCTGAGGGCGAGGATGCCCAGGGTTTTCTTGACAGGTGTCAGCGGATGCTCCGTACAGCAGGGATTCTTGAGTCTAGTGGTGTGGCATTTACCACCTTTCAGTTTACTGGGGCTGCCTTCACGTGGTGGGAGGCGTATGAGAGGCGTAGGCTGGTTGGTGCAGCGCCTTTGACTTGGCAGGAGTTCTCCACTCTCTTCTTGGAGAAGTATGTACCGCAGTCCCGCAGGGAGGAGCTGCATAGGCAGTTTGAGTGGCTACGGCAGGGAGATATGACTGTGTCTCAGTATGAGGCAAGGTATTCTGAGTTGGCTCGTCATGCCGCCTGGATGGTCCCGACAGATCGT